ATTGAGGAATCGCAGAGCCGAGTTCGAATTCCAATCGAATCCATTACATTCACTTACGTTCACTTTCTTAAGGCGTGAATCTTCTTCTTCTCCCTCCAGCTATGGGTAAATAGCAGGATAGATGGCAACTGGTCTAGGAGAAGGACAACTCTGAATTCAAGACCTGCGGATTTAGCGCACCTTCAAAAAGTATGGATGGTCCTGCACGAAACCTTCACCACTATAATCAATTCTCATGTGCTGCTGTCGGTTTCCTGGGAACTAATCTCCTTGACCCTCATACGTCGAACATATATATATATTTATAATTATATATATATATATAGTAGTCGAATTCGCTTTGTTGCGTGTCACACATTTCGTTTTGTTAGAAAAGGATGATTGATTTTGAATCATTGTTATAATTTATGGAGAAAAATGATGCATTTTAATATTACGCAATACTCTTCCCAATATGACTTCCATCTTCTGTTTTAATCCTTCTATATTTTGGATAGGCGTCATTCCCTTGTTCAAATTTAAATTTTATTTAAATGAAAGGAAAAAAAAGAATTAGTGGGGAGTTTGTGCAAAAACAGCTTGATCTGTCCCCTTTGATATGTTCTTGATGAAATACTTGATTGAATGAAATGATCATCGGGTTTCAACATTGATATGATAGTTGAATTGTCGTAACAAAAATAGCTATTGTAAGCACTACCCACTAATTGGTGATTTCTTGCTCAACCTGACGTCTATATTGTCTCATTTTGATCTTGCGGGTGTGACCTCCATTTTCTGGATTTCTCCTTCTATATTTTGGATAGGTGACATTCCCTTGTTCAAATTTAAATTAAACGAAAAAATTCAGTAGGTGGATTGTGAGATAGGGACACCTTTTGATCAAAATGAAATATACTTATCCAAGTACGCTGGGTAATGTAATTTCAGAATATATATGGTTATGGAGGTCTATCTTTAAAACCGTAGGAGGAGTTCACAAACAGACAGACTGAGGCTACAACATCATTCATTCATATATATATATATATATATATATATATATATATATATATATATAAATATTGTTTCAAGGTATGATGTATTTATGTGTTAAAATGCTCAATATCGGTATATAGCGTATGTAAATATAAATATAAAAGTCGATAGGTGAAAATAGTCATTAACTAAAGGTATGTTAATTCCATGTGTAAAGTATATATATATATATATATATATATATATATATATATATATATGTGGGGTGAGAGAGAGATAAGCATATTATACTGATTGTTTACATATAATACTATTAACCCTAGAACGCTAACCTTCGATTAAAGTTACACAACTACTAACTATGGATATATTATACCCGATTTTGAAAATATCAAAAAAAAAAAAAAAAAAAAATTAAATATAAATCTTTATTTGAAATATTTTACATGCAGGCACTTCAAAATTTGTACTTTGAGTTAACATTAATAGGAACTGAAAAACATTATTTAGGTAAGAAAACCAGGTACTGAAAATTGTAATTAAAAACAGGAAAATTTGCACTGGGTACTATATACCCATGGTTAGTGTTCTAGGGTTAAGTGGATATCCGTTATCCGTGGGCCTTTTCCGTTTTTTTTTCTTTTATCATTATGAAAGATACGCAAGTTCAGACCTACCTACCTATCTACCTACCTACCTACCTATGGTGTACGTAATGTTTACGACGCTCTCCTCACCATAATCTGACTGTATTTGTTTCCTCTAAAAATGTTTTCAAGAGGACGTCAGGATTTAAGTTAAGGTTAGGTTGGGATTCGAGTCAGGTTAAAGTTAAGATAAAAAGAGGCAAGATGATATGGTTTCCTTTACTTCCTGAGTAAATTGCAGAATAAATAAGTGTACATGAAAAGGGTATTTATTTTCGTCCTAATCACCATCGGCGAATATCAAAAGAAATCCCTTCGTCAGTTCTAAAGAATGCACATGCAATTTTTAAAATCATATTCCCAACGTGAAAAGGCTTTCGGCCATATCATGCTGAAACATCGGTTCCTGTGCGATAACCGAAGTTAAGCAAAGTCGATCCGCGTAGTATGTAGATGAGTAACCGTTTTGGAATGCCATTTGTTGTAAGCTTCGATGTGCGGGTGGTGTAATGCGTAACGGCTCGAAATTGAAGCTCGGGGAGCCGAGTTCAAAATCAAGTTGGATTCGTTATATTCACATGGGAAAAAATATGAATCCATCTCTTCACCTACAGCTTTCGGTTAATTAATTAAATTGGTTCTGGGATAAGCAAATACTTCTTCTTTTTATGTGCCGTGTCCCTTCAGGACGTAGACGATCATGGCTCTCCAGTTCATCCTGTCATGTTCTATCCTCCACTTGCCCGCCAGGTATGTCATGCGTTGCTTTCTCTTGTCCCTTTAGGCATAACAAAATTAACTGTCGCATCTAAAACCGCTTAGCGACAACTTAAGTCTGAAAATATGACGTAATGCAGAAATATTACAATACATATACTGATCCTTAAATGTGTGTATGCATTTAAACTTCTATTATGTACCGTGTCCCTTCAGGACGTATGTGATTATGGCTCTTCACTTCTCCCTATCCCTTATAGTTCTCAATATATTGTGTCCTATTGCTACTTCTCCCAGACCCTGATATCCGCTTGCTTCAGCCGGCTAATTATGTCAGGCGTTGCTTTCCCTTGACTCTCTTTCCTTCTATCCGTCCTGTGAGTATCAGATTGTCCAAGCCTTCCTTTCTCATTACGTGTCTTATAAATTTCAGCTGCCTCTTCCTGATGTTAAGTATAAGCTTCCTTCTTGTGTGCAAAGTCTCTAAAACCTCATTGTTGCTCACATGTTCGGTCCCTGATATCCTTAGCATCCTTCTGTAGAACCATACCACCGTTGCCTCAAGTGTCTTCTCCATCTTTGAGGAGATCGTCAAACATACGCTGCTGTAAAGGAGGGAAGATATCACGTAGCAGCTCAGTACTCTTTTCTTTGTAACCAAAGAAATCCTCCTGTCTCGTAATACTCTGCCTAGCTTTTGGAATGCTTCTTTGGCCATGCCAATACGTCTTCGGATCTCAGCGTCCTCTGTCAGAACACTTCCCAGATATTTAAATTTCGGCACCTGCTAGATTTTAGCACCCCCGGCCTTTTGCTGATGACCATGTATTTTGTCTTCTTGTAGTTTATGCTTAGTCCCTTCTGTAGGAAGTTTTGTAATTTCTTTTCTATCAGGTAAATATTAGTAGCTTTTGTAATTTCTTTTATATCAGGTAGAAACTAGTAGCTTATATTTGAGCCTATAGGCATTTACTTGTTTCGGAGATAGGTAAATATTGGTTATTTATATCTGAGTCTATCAGTATTTACTTAGTTGGGATATAGGTAAATATTGGTTATTTATATTTGAGCATATAAGTCTTTATTTGGTTCAATTCTTACAATCTAAAAATATTTCCTGGATTTAAAATAACCTTCAAAAGTTGGAATGTCGAACTGAACCCTTTATTTCGCTCACTGGGGTAGACTGTCCTAGTTCCATGTGCCTTGTCTAATGGATGTCAGTTATCAGTTATCTCTTGTTAATTCACCTCTCCAAGTTCTCTACAGCCTTAACCAGGTATTGAACTCACACTGTTATTGGATCTAACCAACACCTTTATCCACTGTGCCATGTGTGCTTAAGGAGCGAAATAAAGGGCTCAGTTCGACATTCCAACCACCTGAAGAAGGCCGGAGCATACTACGGCTGAAACGTTGTGATAAATATGGCAACAAAGATGGAGACAATAGACAGAATAATGTAAATAGAGATTTTCCAAGCGTAGCTTAGATGTGGCACAAAGCCGAAAGTATGGGGCATCCAGTGAGGATCGAACTCACTTTTCAGTAGTGACTGATCTAGCAAGACAAGCTTGCTAACCATTACACCACGCCCTTAATATAAATAGTGTACATAATATCTCATCTCAGAAATATGTAGAGAAACCTTCAAAAGGTTGATAAGCCTTAGAAAACAAGTCAATCAGTCAATCTACTGTCCCATACGGCAATGGATGCTGGAGCATTTCCGCACAGATGAAGAAGAGACTTGAAGCAACGGAAATGCGGATCCGACAAATTCTGAGAATACCATAGTCAGGGCATATAACCAACGAGGAAGCGTTAAAGAAAACAGGAAATAAATTAAGCAAACTGCCAATTTGGGTCCTAAACGATACTCAAGCTGTTATTTATGTTACTTTAAGAATTTTTCTCGTAGAAATAAGGATTCAAGTTAAAGTTGAGTTATGCTTAGTTTTATTTTTAAACTTCTCTCTAGGGTTAAGTTTTCTTGTGCCAAACTTTTAGAAAGATTGGGAACACTATTTACCATTAGGCATAGAATTACATGAGTTTTAAATTGACAGGGAGATTGGAATAAAAGTGGTAGTTAGAATTTTTTAATGAACATTCTTTCATGAAACATTTTGCCGAGAATGTTCGCAATCTAAATAAAGAGCTGGGTGGAAATTTCTTTGATATTTGATAAAAGACGGTAGCTGAAAATAAGGGTGTCTCGGGTGGATTGTTTTCATCCACTTCAAAATAAATAAATATATAAGAGACCTAGCTCGTTTATTTTAAACTCAAAAATACTTGCTTCTTAATTTTTTTTTAAAATCTGGAATTTGTGAAGGAATGGTTACCTAGGAATAGAATTTAAAATGATTTAATAAGTGTAGCTTAGATGGGACTCAAGACCGAAAGTACGGAGGCAGCCAGTGAGGATCAAAACTCGCATGTAATTGCTTTAGGGAGACAAACTAGTTAACTATTACACCACGTCGAAGTACCCAGACGAAGAACCATAGAACTTTTCTAAAATCTGAATAAGAATATATATTGGTATATTTTAGTACATATTGCGAAGTAAAGTTCATCTTTCCTGGAAAAAAAAACTGTACCCGTTCACATGAAAAAAATAAATAAATAAAATAAAGACAGCCTATTCCTTGTATGCAATTGAAACTACGTTGTACGTTTGTTAGCAGAGTCGAGCTGTTCAATTGCCCGGATATACCCACTGAGTAATATGTCGGGAACCCCTGTCATAAAATCAAGCTTCTAATAGATCTGCCATATTCAATCCAATACTTCCTTCCTGACTTCTCAACACTGGTATCTTGTTTTACGTACTTAGTAAATGCGGTTGCTGGCTCTCTCATTAAAAACCAACACTAAATATATGTCTGGGTGCGGTCAAATCTGATGGTTTTTCAGAAGAGTGGCAAAAATCTCGAGCTAATCATCTGTCATTAAATCACAAACCAGAGGATTTAAGGCTCACCTCCCACCTTTCTCACTCCCTCTCTCTCTCTCTCTATCCTTCTATCTCTATCTCTCCCGCTCTCTGTCTCCCCTTTCTCTGTCTTCCTCTCATCCCTCTCTCTCCTCTCTTTCTCTGCCTCTCTTACACGTACACATATATATATATACACACACACACACACACACACACACATACACACAGAGATATAGATATATAAATATGTGCACAAATGCATATATAAAAATACATATATAAAAGAGTATAAAAAAGAGTATAAAAATTCCGTACACTATTTACATTATTCGGACTATTGTCCTCATCGTTGTCGCCATATTTATTACAACGTTTCGGCGACAAAGATGAGGACAATAGTCCGATTAATGTAAATAGTGTACATAATACCCGATCTCAGAAATATAGACAAAAATTCCGTAGCTTGACATAATTTAGCCGTATATTCATCTGAAAATTTCACTGTAAGATATTCAATCAATTCAATTAATACTTATTTAATTAACATTTGGAATTTGTAAAGGAACGGTTACCTAGGAATAGAAGAAGCATTATGATTTAATAAGCGTAGATGGAACACAAGGCCGAAAGCACGGAGGCACCCAATTAGGATTACTGTTAAACAGCCGAGCAGACTGGGCGCTCGAGTCGTGGTTGGCATCCAGTCTACAACACTCAAATACCTGAAATATAAGGAGAGTTAGACATGGTATGCAGGTACTATGGCTTTGAAAGAAGCACGATAGGCTTCAGTAACTGTCTATATCTCTGAAATGAGGTATTATGATTACTTACATTATTTACATTATTCGGACTGTTATCCTCATCTTCATTGTCATATTAACAACGTTCCAGCCTCTGTATCTCCGATGAGGTATTATGATTACTTACATTATTTATGCGGACTGTTATCCCTATGGCATTTCATAAACAACGTTCCAGCCTCTGTATCTCCGAGATGAGGTTTATGATTACTGGACTGTTATCCTCATCTTCATTGCCATATTAACAACGTTCCAGCCTCTGTATCTCCGAGATGAGGTATTATGATTACTTACATTATTTACATTATTCCGACTGTTATCCTCATCTTCATTGCCATATTAACAACGTTTCAGCCTCTGTATCTCCGAGATGAGGTATTATGATTACTTACATTATTTACATTATTCGGACTGTTATCCTCATCTTCATTGTCATATTAACAACGTTCCAGCCTCTGTATCTCCGAGATGAGGTATTATGATTATTTACATTATTCGGACTGTTATCCTCATCTTCATTGCCATATTAACAACGTTCCAGCCTCTGTATCTCCGAGATGAGGTATTTACTTATTATTTACATTATTCGGACTGTTCATTTCATTGCCATATTAACAACGTTCCAGGATCTCCGAGATGAGGTATTATGATTACTTACTTATTTACATTATTCGGACTGTTATCCTCATCTTCATTGCCACAACGTTTCAGCCTCTGTATCTCCGAGATGAGGTATTATGATTACTTACATTATTTACATTATTCGACTGTTATCCTATCTTCATCGTATTAACAACGTTCCAGCCTCTGTATCTCTGAGATGAGGTATTATGATTATTATTATTTACATTATTCGGAACTGTTATCCTCATCTTCATTGCCATATTAACAACGTTCCAATTCCGAGATGAGGTATTATGATTATTTACATTATTCCGACTGTTATCCTCATCTTCATTGCCATATTAACAACGTTTCCCTCTGTATCTCCGAGATGACCATTATTTACATTATTCGGACTGTTATACTCATCGTACTTTTTCCATGTGTATTCTGTGTGTAAGTGAATATAATGAACCCAACTGGAATTGAAACTCTGCTCTCCGATTAATAGTCCTGGACCATTATCATTTACACCAACCGCACATCCAAGCTTACACCACTTGGTATTCCCAAGCGGTCACCGTTGCTTAACTTTCTAGATCGTACAGATGCCGGAGCGAGCAATGGCCGAAACGTTATGAATATGGCAATGAAGATGAGGATAACTGTCCGAATAATGTAAATAATGTAAGTAATCGTATTGCCATAATCATTAGTTATAGACTTAAATTTTTTAAGCGTTTCACCCCGAGCAAGGCGGGAAGTCACTAGCACGCGAGGGGGTACAGAGAGTTGGAGCGAGAGCAAATAAGAGTGATAGGGGAAGGATGAAGAGAAGGTTAGGGGATAGATCAAGACAACTGGAGACGTCGATTGACATTACATTTGAATAATTGGAAGACTATCAGCGAAACAGGAATAGGGAAGGGAGTTCCACAGGCGAGAGATGCGAGACATACAGCTATTGGAGTAGAAGAGACGGCTACATTTAACAGTTTCGTCAGTGAAAGGGTGTGAGCGAGATGCCAGCCTAGTAGAACGCTTAAATTCATGAAGTCTGGGAACCAGCGAAAGCAGCTCATCGGAGCAGTTACCATGAAAGTATTTGTAAAAAAAGACAGAGGGAAGCGACGACACTTATTGTCATTATTAATCGGCGGGTTCAGAAGTTTTTTTTTTTTTTAAACAACATCTTTCCATCTGTCTGTGTTGTCTCTAGTTTAAAAATATCTATTCCATAAAACTCATATCGATTTATGATTTTTTTCATAACTGTCTATATCTCTGAAATGAGATATTATGATTACTTACATTATTTACATTATTCGAACTGTTATCCTCATCTTCATTGCCATATTCACAACGTTTCGGTCGTTGCTCGCTCCGATCTTCTTTAGGTGATTGAAATTTCGAACCGAACCCTTTATTTAGTCCACTGGGGTAGATTATGCTAGTTCCACGTTCTATGCCTCTTCCCGATATCTCAGTTATTTCCCTTTAACTCAACTCTCCAATTTTTGGCTCGCCACTCAAGGATACATGATTCAATGGATAAAGGTGTTGGTTAGATCCAGTGACTAGACCCAAAGAATTGTGGGTTCATTCCGAGGCTACGGCAGGGGTAACCAAAAAACTTGAAGAGCTGAGTTAAAAGAAAATAAGCGAGACATCGGGAAGAGGCATGGCACATGAAACTAGAACGATCTATCCCAGTGGACAAAATAAAGGGTTCGAATCCAATCATCTGATTTTGTAGGAGGTTTTGTAATTTCTTTTCTATCAGGTAAATACTAGTAGCTTATATTTGAGCCTATAGACATTTACTTGTTTCGGAGATAGGTAAATATTGGTTATTTATATCTGAGTCTATAAGTATTTACTTGGTTGGGATATAGGTAAATATTGGTTATTTATATTTGAGCATATAAGTCTTTATTTGGTTCAATTCTTACAATCTAAAAATATTTCCTGGATTTAAAATAACCTTCAAAAGTTGGAATGTGGAACTGAACCCTTTATTTCGCTCACTGGTGTAGACTGTCCTAGTTCCACGTGCCATGTCAGTTATCAGTTATCTATTGTTAATTTACCTCTCCAAGTTCTCTACAGCCTTAACCAGGTATTGAACTCACACTGTTATTGGATCTAACCAACACCTTTATCCACTATGCCATGTGTCCTTAAGGAGCAAAATAAAGAGCTCAGTTCGACATTCCAATCATCTGAAGAAGGCCGGAGCGTACAACGGCCGAAACGTTGTGAATATGGAAATGAAGATGAAGATAACAGTCCGAATAGTGTAAATAATGTAAGTAGATTTCATTAGCTATGGATAAACGCACTGAAGAGAGATGATTAAGAATGTTGTTGACACCAATGGGCACTGAGCCGAGCAAGCTGCCATTTCACGTCAATTAATGAATTTACAGTTACACGACGCACATGCCCATCTTGTAGCATTTGGCTTATTGCCTTTGACACGCATTTGGGTCGATCTTATTGATTTACTTCGGGTAGCATCGATATCTATAATTCACAAAATGCGTGTGTGTGTGTGTGTGTGTGTGTGTGTGTGTGTGTGTGTGTGTGTGTGTGTGTGTGTGTGTGTGATCGGATGTTGTTTATGCGTTTCCAAAGTTTTCATCTGATTTCGATGAATTTTTTTTGATTGATAGATAATTCTTCAGTGCCGGTTTTGAGTCGAAATTGTTGACGACAATGACTCTCCACTACTTCCTGTCCATTATGACTCGGCAACGTTTCTGTTCTTGGATATAAATCTTTCATAAAAAAAACTTTAATAAAAATAAATAGTTTAAATTATCACAATAATATCTATATCTATAATTCTCAAAATGTGTGTGTATGTATGTGTGTGTCTGTGTATGTGTTTGTGTGTGATCGGATGTCGTTCATTCGTTTCCACAGTTTTCATCCGAACAATTCTGCGTGCGAGGTTGATAACGATGATCAAAGGACTCAAAGGCTGAGGAGAAACACCGCTCCAGCTGCTGCTGCGCGTGAGGCTGAATCTCGATTGAGAACGCAAAAACGAATCCCAGGGCCACCCCACACATTCAAATTGTTAACCCCTCCTCCATTTGGGTATGTGCCTTTGTTGCACCCAATTGTTGTTACTAATATTGATTTTCGGGTTGTCTGACTTTAAACTTAAACTGCTCCAATTGAACGGCAAACATTCCCAGTAATGAAAGACCCGGTCAAAGACTGGTTATAACGCTAGTAACTTACAACGGCAAAGTAGTTTTTGAAAATGTTATATTCTTTTACGCTGGTAAAAAAAAAAAAGACGTCACACTGGAAATAATAGACTGTGCATATATTTACTCACCAAAACAAGTTCAGTTGACCGTTGATGACAATTCCCGAACAACGTAACTATAAACAATTTTTTTCTATCCTCTGCCAGCCGCAATGATGGAGAAAGCATTATCCGAACCATCGCCAGTGAGCCTCGAACCATCGCCAATGAGCCTCGAACCATCGCCAGTGAGCCACGAAGCATCGGCAATGAGACTCGAACCATCGCCAGTGAGCCTCGAAGCATCGCCAGTGAGCCTCGAAGCATCGCCAGTGAGCCTCGAAGCATCACCAATGAGCCACGAAGCATCGCCAATGAGCCTCGAACCATCGCCAAAGAGCCTCGAACCATCGCCAATGAGCCACGAACCATCGCCAATGAGCCACGAAGCATCGCCAATGAGCCTCGAACCATCGCCAGTGAGACACGCTGCAAGAGCCACTCCGTTTTGTCTCTCTACTCACCCATTTTTCTGTAGAAATTGTGTTTCTGGGTTTCGTTAATTTTATGACATAACTATTATTGGGATATTTAATACCGGAAGCAGTTTTTTTATTTTTAAATTATTATTGAGTCTATAAGCACTTACTTAGTTTTAGGATAGGCAAATACTGGTCGCTTATATTTGAGTCTATAAGCATTTATTTGTTTCGAAGATTGGTAAATATCGGTTATTTATATTCGAGTCATTAAATATTTACTTGGTTGGGAGAAAAGCTAATATTGGTGGCTTACAAATGTGTCTATATGCTTTGTTTTGTTTCGCAGAAAAGTAAATATTTGACCTTTATATTTATTTAAGTTTATAAAATGGTACTTGGTTCGAGGATATGTAAATATTGTTGGTTTATATGTGAGTCTAAATGCATTCACTTGGTTTGAGGATATGTTAATATTGGTCGATTACATTTTACCCTAGAAGCAGTTAATTTGTTTGGGGATATGTTAACATTAGACGATTATATTTGAGTATATAAGCAGTTATGTTGATTCGTGGATGTTAATATTGGTCACATTCCAGTCTATAAGCAGTTACTTCCCTACATGCAAGCCACCAATCTGACACTGAGTGGCATGCCACTAGCGGTAAACGCTAGTGGCCCACCGTCAAAACGCCGGGATTTTCCTTTCAGCAATGTTACCACTGGCGGACCGCTAGAGGCCCAACGGTGGCCCACTGATGGGCCACTAGCAGTTTGTGTATAGGGTTGGTTCGGGTATAACTTAATATTGATCGATTACATTTCAGTATAAAGCAGTTACTTGAATCGGGGATAAGTTAATATAAGTTGATTACATTTCAGTGTATACGCAATTACTTGTTTTGGAGAGAGGTATGTAATGATTTTGTTAATATTTAGGTACGTAAGGCTTTAATTTGTAGGTGGAATATTTGCCGAGGTTTCAGCCGTTGTACGCTCCAGCCTTCTTCAGGTTATTGGAACTTCAAACTGAACCGTTTATTTCGTCCACCGGGGTAGATTGATTTAGTTCCACATGCCATGCCTCTTCCGGATGTATCAGCATCAGTTATCTCCCTTTAACTCAATTCTCTCAGTTTTTTTGTTGTTCACGTCAGGTCTAACCAGGTATTGAAATCACAATTGGGTCAAGTCTTCTTAATCCACTGGGACATGTGTCTTCAAGAACAATGTAAATAATGTAAATGATTACAAGATCTCATCTCAGAAATATATTTACATTATTGTTTCCTATTCGTTTTTAGTTTTTGATTTTTAAGTAATGTAGTAAAAATTGTTTTTTGTGTCTGCATTTTGAGATGAGTTGTGATCGTTTATTTAGTAATTTGTGTGAGTCTGAGAAATTAATTATACCTATTTTTTTTCTTCAGACAGAGTTTATAGTTTTTAGATTGATTGTTGTAGGCTCATGTTTTTTTTTTTTTTCCATGATATTTTTGCTGTAATTTGGTTTTCGTTTTAATTTCCTATATATGTTTAAAAAACAATGTTTTGTTCGCGTATTTACGATTTGTAATGGATGCTTTATGTGCATAGTTTCTTTGTTTCCAGGATCATTCAGTTACTCCAATATATATTTTTCTTCGTAGTATGCTGATTTTATAGTGGTATATTGCATTGTTTTGCCGTTTAATGGAGATTCGTTCTTTGCTCTGCAGTTACACGTGGTTTGATTTCGTGGTTTGTTGGTTATTCTTCTTTTGTGCTTTTTTTTATTATTTCTGTTATGTTCTCGGTGAAACTCTAGCTTACTTTTACTGTGTTTTTGTTGAATATCTTGTGGGGAGTGCTTGAAAGGGGAAGTGTTTGCGTATGAGTTTAATGAATGTTTTTCCTACGTTTGTTCTTACGTTTTTGTTGTTCGATGGGTTGGACCAAATAATGTTCATATATATTCAAGGTGTATCAAAAATACTCTTACAAACTTTGGGGCAGATTCCTCACACCAAAACAAGGACAAAAGTCCATATAAACATATGTCCGCAAATAAATCCTTTCTGAGTTATTAAATTTACAGAAAGCTTTCGGGGGGACTGGGCTACATTTGTAATTCTTGTACATTTGTGTCTAGTCTGTCTTCAATGTTTAACATGTGTAGTAGCGACTTAACAGAAAAAAATGTTCCGTCATCTGACAATGCTTCTTCAAATAAAAATGATAACGAAAATAAATACTAGTTAAACAACCCACAGAGGTGTTGATATGCCTCTAAACAAAAACAATTAATCAACAACCAATTCTAATTAAGTTCGTTATATTTACTTAAATAGCCTTTAGAAACGTATGGATGTACCTCTTCAACCTCCTGCTATGGGTTAAATAGTAAATTTTGTATCACTAAATCATTATTATATCTCCCGATACGAAAATATTCTTATAATATAAAAATGTTTTCTGGCTTTAAATAACCAACAATGGGTTGATAAGCCGTAGAAAACGAATCAACCAGCAGAAAGACAGGGTCTTATATACAATTAAATTAGGTACCTCCACGAGATCGCTAAAAAAATAGCATAGCATGATGAAAAAGACAACAAACTTGACGAAAACTAAATTTTATCGTCTAAATGTTTATGTCATTATTAAGAGGAAAGATCAAAGTATTTTGAGGGTATATTTTTTACATTTTCAATCGTTTCTAGCACGTCCGAAATTTCCGTTAAAAATCTTTTTTTTTTTGAGTCAGCAAAATTGACCATTTTTTTCCATTTTATAAAAAAACTGGAAATCTCATTTTGAAATTCTTTTAAATATCAATTATCATTTTTTCAAAACTTATTTTAAGAAAATCAGAAATTATAATGTTTATTTAAAATATTTTGAACCAAGTTTAACTTAGTTTCTGCGCCGAAAAGATGTAATTTGAGAATAAAACAAAGCAGGTCATAAACTTTCGCGTCACTTGACAGGTGATGAATGAGATATTGACGGATTCCGTAAGGCTAATTTGTTCTACGGAAGGAGAAAAGTGAAATAATTTACATTTAAGTGAACAAATTATTTACCTCGTTATTTTTAAGGAAAACTTTCAGCGCTCTAATTTATTTTGTACTTAGCATTCACCTTTACGTTTACGATGCTTTATGGAAAATATATTATGATGAAATTAAAACAAGACTGTTAAGAGTGAGATTAAATATCATATTTCATAAGAAAGGTATCTAATTAATTTATTTAATTTAATCTTTCTTATGAAATTTCATCAGAAGTGTACATAAAATACTATAATTTTATGTACATTTATTACATTTTACTGTGTTATTTGTATTTCCATTCATTTTATTATTAATTTTGATATTTCATTTATGAAAAAACGACATAACTGAGATTAATATAAAAATAAGATCATATAAATTTCATAAGATGATACTGATACTTGTAGGTACCCTTCTCAGTTGAAATTGAAAAATAAAATTAACTTCTCCACACATGTTTCGCAACAGTAAAAGCCGTAAATGCTTAACTAAACAACGCAACTTTGTATTCTGGTTGGTCTTCCGTACTTTATAATTACAGCACGATTATAAACACAAATTACATTTCTTAATTACTGCGTATCTTCTGATTAGTCAAAATGATACAATTTACAACGCGCTAAAAAAGATCTATTTCATAAGGAGACTTATGAAACCCGATGCGGCTTTTAACTAATTTTATAATATTTTAACAATTTAAATGTAAAAATCTATTATAATTAAGAAATAACAAATAATTGTATTAAAAATTTTTGCTTTCAGAAAATATTGTCCATATTCATAAACACAACTAAAAGCAAATAAAAGCATTTGAAATTAAATAATATCTTTGTTTTATTGAGTTTTGTATGTTACAAATCAGAGCTGATTTTCAGGTAGGGGGTGTCCAATTAAAAGTAAAAAAAAACAAAAAACAAAAACAACATGATTTGCATTCCTCAAAGCAATGCGCTTTTAACTATTGTAATCACTAAACCCGATGCGATCGAATTTCTAGCGTTTTCATAAAATTAGTTATGGCGGGGGGATAAAAAATAAAAAAAAAATATTTCGATCATCTGTGAATAGTTCCTGAAAGTTTCATTAACATCCGACAATTATTTTTATTTTTGCAAGATTTTTCTAAATTAATGTGTCATACCAAAAAAACGTGCTAAAAATTGTCTATTATTTTACTAGTTCCGGTGATACAAAGAGAAACAAGTTTTTTTAATCAAAATTTATAATGTTCTAAAAAGAAGGAAACATTTTAAAAAATAATTAAAATAAACTTTGATCTTTCCTCTTAATAATAACATAAGCATTTAGACGATAAAATTTTGTTTTCGGCAAGGTTGGCGTCTTTTTCATCAAGCTATGCTCATTTTTTAGCAATTTCATGGAGGTACCTAAATTGAAAAATAATGATATTTAAATATAAACTGAATAGTTCAAACACTGATAACTCAACTATCTCAGCCACCGGTCAAAATCTTAGTTTTGGTTTTAGACTGACACTATTTTAGAATTGCGGGCATTAATAAAATGACCCTGAACCAATGATTTTCTGAACCCCACATTCTTCCTTTGCGATCCATATTTTGAATTGTTTTCTCTTAATGTTTCTCATCCTTATTCTCATGACTTACAAATTACATCCCTCCCCGCCACCGTCTCAATTAAAATTTCTCCCCCGTTGATTAGATTTTGATCACCCGGGGAGCCAATGTGACCCCCGTTCGAGAATCAATGTACGAAATATATTTTCAATTATCACAAATTTCTTCTGGACGGGAATAAATAATTTTTGAGTGACATTTAAAAGTTTTCCCACGAAGCAGAATGTCATTCGCGAATCTTTTTCAAAATCTGCGGTTCATTAAATAGGTTCGTAAAAATATTAATCTGCCTTAATTAAAGTAATGAGTAAATTTAAATTTGATTAATTTCATTAATTGCAAGATTCGTCCCCCCAGTAAAAAT